ACAAAATGTAAACAAAACCTTGAATTTGCACTATATGTCTGTTCAGGCGTAATTCACTTCTTTCATATTATGTGCACCCACGCTTATCATATCTAATTTTGTTCAGGAGAAATAGGGCTTTCATGTCACATCAAATATTTGTATATTAAACATAGTTTAATATGAATAAAATATCAAAACAAATGCGAAGTTAAGACATTTTGTTATTTTTTAAATTTTGCATGGCATTTTAACTGTGAATGTCACAATACTGTTAAATGTTACTGCAATAAAGTACACACATTTGTATTTAGCGATGTCTCACGAGTAAAACACCCCCCCAATGTACAGGTTTTATGGTGTTTTGGAAAGTTACAGGGTCAAATATAGCACATTACATTTTTTTGTACACATGGAAATAAGCAAGACTGGCTATGTTGCCTTTGAGACCAAATGGTAGCCCAGGTATGAAAATTACCCCCATGATGGCATACCATTTCGAAAGTAAACAACCCAAGGTATTACAAATGGGGTATTTCAAGTCTTTTAGTAGCCACTTAGTCACAAACACTGGCCAAAGTTAGCATTCATATTTGTTGTGTGTGAAAAATGCAAAGAACTAAATTGAACGCTAATTGTGACCTGTGTTTGTGACTAAGTGGCCAATAAAAAAGACTGGACATACCCCATTTGCAATTACTTGGGTTGTCTTCTTTTGCAAATGGTATGACGTAATGGGGGTAATTCTCATTCCTGGGCTACCATACGGTCTCAAAGGCAACATAACCAATCTGGCAAATTTCAATGTGAAAAAAAAGGAAATTCAAGCCTTATTTTTGACTCAGTAACTTTTGCACACACCATAAAACCTGTACATGTACTATTATACTTGGGAGACTTCACTGAACACAAATATTAGTGTTTCAAAATAGTAAAACGTATCACAATAATTATATCATCAGTGAAAATATAGTTTGTGTGTGAAAAAGGCTAAAAACTGCAATTTTACTTACAATATCATCATTGTGATAAGTTTTACTATTTTTTAAACACTAATATTCGTGTTCAGTGAAGTTTCCTGAGTAAAACAGTTCCCCCCATGTACAGGTTTTATGGTGTCTTGGAAAGTTACAGGGTTAAATATAGGACTTGCAAGCCAAATTCTCTGGACTTTCTGCCTGGGTTGTCGGGCAGCCCCTCAGATTGTACTTAATAAAATTGCTTAAATATGTAAAAAATATTATAAAAATATTTTTGTAGAATTTAAATTTATATGTGTGTGTATGTATGTATATATATATATATATATATATATATATATATAATTTTTTTTAATGATTTTTATTTATATATGATATATATATATGTATATATATATATATGCATTTATAACATCATTCTAAATGTATTTTGAATTTAATATATATGTATTTTTTTATTTTTTGTTAAATTTCTTTGTATATTTTCTCTGTAATTTATTTGTAACTTGGAAAAAACAAATAAAAATTCAAATATGAAAACAAATATATATATCAAAATACATTTAGAACAAATTAAAACCAGTATATAATTTTTTTTCAATTTTTTTCAATTTATTTATTGATTATTTTAATTTAAATTTTATAAACATATATATATATATATACACACATTATTTTTTTGTAAATATTTTATTATATCTTTTCATGTGACAACACTGAAGAAATGACACTCTGCTGCAATGTAAAGTAGTAAGTGTACAGCCTGTATAAAAGTGTAAATTTGCTGTCCCCTCAAAATAACTCAACACACAGCCATTTATGTATAAACCATTAGCAACAAAAGTGAGTACACCCCTAAGTGGAAATGTCCAAATTGGGCCCAATTAGCCATTTTCCCTCCCCGGTGCCATGTGACTCTTTCGTGTTACAAGGTCTCAGGTGTGAATGGGGAGCAGATGTGTTAAATTTGGAGTTATCGCTCTCACACTCTCTCATACTGGTCACTGGAAGTTCAACGTGGCACCTCATGACAAAGAACTCTCTGAGGATCTAAGAAAAAGAATTGTTGCTCTACATAGAGATGGCATAGGCTATAAGAAGATTGCCAGGACCCTGAAACTGAGCTGCAGCATGGTGGACAAGACCATACAACGGTTTCACAGGACAGGTTCCACTCAGAACAGGCCTCGCCATGGTCGACCAAAGAAGTTGAATGCATGTGCTCAGAGTCATATCCAGAGATTGTCTTTGGGAAATAGACGTATAAGTGCTGCCAGCATTGCTGCCGAGGTAGAAGGGATAGGGGGTCAGTCTGTCAGTGCTCAGACCATACGCCGCACACTGCATCAAATTGGTCTGCATGGCTGTTGTCCCAGAAGGAAGCCTCTTTTAAAGATGATGCACAAGAATGCCCGCAAACAGTTTGCTGAAGATAAGCAGACTAAGGACATGGATTACTGGAACCATGTCCTGTGGTCCGATGAGACCAAGATGAACATATTTGGTTTAGATGGTGTCAAGTGTGTGGGGCAGCAACCAGGTGAGCAGTACAAAGACAAGTGTGTCTTGCCTACAGTGAAGCATGGTGGTGGGAGTGTTATGGTCTGGGCCTCAATGAGTGCTGTCGGCATTGGGGAGCTACAGTTCATTGAGGGAACCATGAATGCTAACATGTACTGTGACATACTGAAGCAGAGCATGATCCCCTCCCTTCTGAAACTGGGCCGCAAGGCAGTATTCCAACATGATAATGACCCCAAACACACCACCAAGATGACCACTGCCTTGCTAAATAAGCTAAAGGTAAAGGTGATGGACTGGCCAAGCATGTCTCCAGACCTAAAACATATTGAGCATCTGTGGGGCATCCTCAAATGGAAGGTGGGGGAGCGTAAGGTCTCTAACATCCACCAGCTCCGTGATGTCAAGGAGGAGTGGAAGAGGACTCCAGTGGCAACCTGTGAAGCTCTGGGGAACTCCATGCCCATGAGAGTTAAAGCAGTGCTGGAAAATAATGATGGCCACACAAAATATTGACACTTTGGGTCCAATTTGGACATTTCCACTTAGGGGAGTACTCACTGTTGTTGCCAAAAGTTTAGACATGAATGGCTGTGTGTTGAGGTTATTTATAGAGGACAGCAAATTTACACTGTTATACAGGATGTACACATACTACTTTACATTGTAGCAGAGTGTCATTTCTTCAGTGTTGTCACATGAAAAAATATAATAAAATATTTACAAAAATGTGAGGGGTGTACTCACTTTTGTGAGATACTGTGTAAATATGATCTAATTACTTTTTATTTAATTTAAAAACTGTTTAATAACTTTTACTAACTTTAAAAAACTTTTTTTACAGGCATGAGGGGAACTCACTGATAGTTCAGCCAATGAGTTGTGCCGATGGGCGCAGTACCTCCGAGTATGAGGATGTGTTTTGGCCTCGCAGTGACTTTTAAAGTCACTAAAACACATTAAAAGTATGCAGTAAAATCCAAAAATCTATATCCAATTACTGATCAATATATCAAATCACAAAGGGTGCAAAATTAGAATACACTTATCCCAGGGTAATCACGGGTCCACGTTTAATAATGCATAAAAAATTTACCTTTTAGTGATTTCTAGTGAACATTTACGGTTTACTCCTATCAACATAAAAATGTGCCTTACATTTTTATATTGCCTATAAAAGTAAATAATAAAGCTTTAAAACAGCTTTATTTTTAATCACTTCAAGAACAGATCATTTATAGTGTGGTAAAGCAATGCAAAAAATAGTTTAGCTGAAAGGAAAAATGAATATACAATATAAAGATATTTAGCTTGGTAAGTGATGTAATGTGAGGATAGCTCATAAGATGAACTGCATTCAAAATTGAGATGTCTTGAAATAATTGCCTTCTATGATCTAATGTATCCAAAGGGGAAACATATTATTCTTCTATGCCAGAGGCATATCAGATATTACCCAATGATGCAAAGTATGAATTGTTTGAATACAGGTTAACTGGATAAATAAAGCTGAGGCATAGAGGCCTGAGAAATTATTAACTATTGCACTCCTGGTGCCCTGTCAGCCAGTAACGAAACTAACTAAGGGAAGAAGGTTATGGTAGCGTCTACGTACATGTGATTGATGTACCTGAGAATGAGTGAGTCAGTAATGAGGTTCAACACAAGAAAGTGAATTGGAACACCTAAAGATGCAATGATGTAATGTATATGTGTGAATTGTAAGGACAGCTTGTGGACCCAATTGAATTAATCTGTAGCAGATCTACCTGACTAGCGTAGTACAAGGGGTATGATGTGTAATGGTGCCCTAAGTCCTGAGCACCCCGTAACCTGTAAATAAACATAGTATGAGTAACGCCTTTGATACAAATATCCTCTAACCCACAACCCACTTTGAAAGAAGAAATGGATACAAGTGAAAGCAGGTCCTGACTAAGGAATCTAATGATATGATGATATATATGAGGAGTATGTACGTGGTCCCCGTAACATACTATACAAAAATTAGTAATGTTGTCTGAGCCTATATGTGGCCTATGATCTAAGACCTCCTTAATCATCACGTATAAAACCTATGACCATACAAAAAAATTACAATGACAAGATATTACCCTATAATTCTTAAGAATCAGAAAACATACTTAAAGTAGCTAAGCAGAACTTAAATCACAGGATTACGTGAAAGTTCCACTAGAAGTCAGTGTTCAAATTCGCATAATTTGTATGAATTTTCTGAACCACCGTTGCAGTTAAATTGTGTTCAATTGTACTGCACGAATGCTACTTCCGGCCATAGGGCTTTCGGGTTGATTCAACCAAACAGGGTGCGTTTGTTGGAAAAATAGATGATCTGGCAGTTATTTAGAAACATGAGAATGCCATTCGTGGGAATAAGCCGAACTATAATAGTAATCTTATGATTTGCACATGTCCCAAAAGCTCGCAAATTATTTTAAGCTAAACCATTCGTGAGTTTTGAAAACGAATAAAATTAGATGAAATACTATATGAAATTAGGTATATGAATGGACAAAGCAGGTAATAGCCGGAAACAGAGATGAAGCTGTGGAACTGCGACCATGGCGCGACGGCTGGGGACGGCTGGGTCAGTATCTTACGGTTTGGAGTGCTTCTGGGTCAGTCTGTAGTGAGCTGGAGCCACAGAGGGGTGCAGAGGGGGCCATTCCTTCAAGAAAGATATGCGGTCGATTGAATCTGAGGAGAGAACCATGTGGAGACCAGGTAAGTATGAAAATGGTGAAATGAAGGATACAGGAGAAGGTGAGAAGTCCCTTTAAAAAGGTATATAAACACCTCCCATAATTCCAGGCAGAGCCTTAATATATATCTACAAAAACAGAATCCAACACACTCACTCACTGAACATCACCTTCAAAGCTAACAAACTATAACACATATTATTAATTATTTAGCACATATTTATAAAATTCCTTAAACCCTGCACTCACTGTCTCCCGGACTTCACTTGACTTGGGGCTGTGTATCTCCAGTTAGAATACCATGATAGAGTACCCCCCTTCGAAACCCCACCCTTCGAGACCCCCAAAGACCACACTTAGCAACACCAGAAATTCAGTTTGGACATTTCCACTTCTGATATTCTGGGAATAAGATATCTTATTAAATAAAATTATTCTTTTTTTTTTTTTTTAACAGAGGTGAAAGAGTTAATGCAGCGATTAATCTGTAATGTAAGTTGTGATTCTGAAGTATGGTTGTAAATATGGATCTACATTATTGTTAGGTTATGCAATTGCTTAACTGTTTAATTATAACATAGCATTCACTTTTCATAAAAACTATTGAAACTTCTATTTATACCTATTGCCACACATGTAACAGGCATTATTAAAAATCTAATTCAATACCGTATAATTTACATGTTCTGGATCTTTATTGGGACAAGACAGGGGGTCAGGTATCACACATTCTTCTAGTGTGGAGTTTTTAATCAGACGCCTGTAGATATAATTATGTTCTGTACCTACTCAGAAAACCTGACAGGTTGCAATATTTCTGTCTTCTTTTTTTATAAACTAGGTTCTTGTTAAGCTGTAAAAAAATAATTCACCCATCATTTACCATTTTACCATAATATATTTGAATAGTTTGTTTATACACAAAAAAATGCCAACAACATTTAGTTGGAACTTGGGGTGTATAGCTATAATGTACAATTAGACCAAAACGGTAATTGTATGTGTATATTGCTCCCCAGTAATACATAAACATATTAAATTATATCTATCTCCAGAATTTTATGATTTCCGTTTATTTTCTCATCTTTTTACAACACAAAATTGGAAGCTATATAATATTGGAGGCTGTGTGTTATTAGGAAATGTTTCATATCAGAGATATATTAATTTCAGAACATACAGTAGGAAGTAAACTAAAATGAGCAAAATATCTTCAAGTGCCCTGTTTTGGGGTATTTTAAAATAATCATCTGGCTTTTGTGGCAGTTCAGAGAAGATCCCTGCTTCCACCCTACTACTACAATGGTGCAACATTAAGTGTTACACTTGTTGAGCACTGCTGGTTCTATGGCAGTGTGAAAGGAAGTGGTAGGGATCTAGGCATAATATACAGTTCATGATGATGTGCAATGCATGTCCCAGATGAACGCACTGGAGCTCTTGTGATGAACCTCAATGGTGTGGCCCAAAGAAGGGTAAAATGACAACATTAGTCTGATATGCAAATGGTACAGGTTCTCTTTGTAATGGCACAAGTGAGGAAAACCATTTTTTGAGAACTGAGCAGGGACTAATCAAAGGGCAAGCTATTGAGGTTTCCTTAAGCTCTACTGAAGACATACTATGAGCATTCTCAGAGTTCTTATATTTCTGTTTTAGTTGCAATACATTAGTTATAATTGGCTAATTAATTTCCATCCCAATGACATGTTCGAACAATGTGCTATTTAATAATTAATACATTTCTACAAGTACTAAATTCCATAAGTAGTAGCTATATTTTGCTACCATTTTACAATTTCCTAGTACCTGCCTCAGTTAGTTTTTATTGTTATATTTGAATTCCACATAAATGAATGCACCCTCTTCTGAACATTAACTTCTTGTCACTCAGAAGGTTAATATGACTTACAATCTTCATGAATAATCTGATTACATCATTACCTGCATAACTGGAGTAGGGCAGCTACTACATACTCTGTAAAGATCATATACTTTATCATCTGTGTAGGAGATTTACAGTTTCATTTGTATAGTTTCATTACAGTATAATTTGCACATGACAATTACTACACAATCTGTGTAAAAATTATATTTAATTTGTGTAAAACTATTTTGCAGAAATAATTATATTTCTATTAAACCATAAAAAAATGTTATTTTATACCAACTAAACATGTGATAAAAAAAATGGTAACATCTTGACATTTTCGAAAGAATGCAAAATGCCTTCTTTTCCATTAAAAAAAAAAAGAAATTGACAGCATTTTTATGAAAACTACATTTCTTTCATTGCCACTGTATATAATGCTTTGATGGATGAAGTGTACAAATTTTCCCGTAAAAGCTTTTTTAATGTTCTCATAGGTACATGTTTATTTTTCAAGCTGGCTTTTGCTTTTATGCTAAACTTTTAAAGTCACTAAAACACATTAAAAGTATGCGGTAAAATCCAAAAATCTGTATCCAATTACTGATCAATATATCAAATCACAAAGGGTGCATAATTAGAATACACTTATCCCAGGGTAATCACGTGTCCATGTTTAATAATGCTTAGAAAAGGTACGCTTTTAGTGATTTCTAGTGAACATTTACAGTTTACTCCTATCAACATTAAAATTTGCCTTACGTTTTTATATTGCCTATAAAAGTTAATAATAAAGCTTTAAAACAGCTTTATTTTTAATCACTTCAAGTTCAAGAACAGATCATTTATAGTGTGGTAAAGCAATGCAAAAAATAGTTTAGCTGAAAGGAAAATGAATATACAATATAAAGACATTTAGCTTGGTAAGTGATATAATGTAAAGATAGCTCATAAGATGAACTGCATTCAAAATTGAGATGTCTTGAAATAATTGCCCTCTGTGATCTAATGTATCCAGAGGTGGAAAACATTATTCTTCTATGCCAGAGGCATATCGGATGTTACCCAGTAATGCAAAGTATAAATTGTTTGATTAGATGTTAATTGGATAAATCTTAAAGCTCTGGCAGAATCCAAAGTTTAACATCACAAACCTAGCAAATTTAATTTGGGAGGTATATGTGTTTTGGCAGTTATGCTGTTTTTTTTTCTTCTAGAGGACTACTTAGTTAAGCATTTAAATTCATGAGCAAGTCTAGAATGTGCATTAATCACATAGGATAATAAATGCAAACAGAAGAATATAGATGTTTAAGAAAACAAGATAATTTAAAGGACCACTCTAGGCACCCAGACCACTTCAGCTTAATGAAGTGGTCTGGGTGCCAGGTCCTTCTAGGGTTAACCCATTCTTTTATAAACATAGCAGTTTCAGAGAAACTGCTATGTTTATGAATGGGTTAAGCCTTCCCTAAAGCCTCTAGCAGCTGTCTCATTGACAGCCGCGAGAGGCGCTTGCGTGATTCTCACTGTGAAAATCACAGTGAGAAGACGCCAGCATCCATAGAAAAGCATTATGAATGCTTTCCTATGCGACCAGCTGAATGCGCGTGCAGCTCTTGCCGCGCGTGCGCATTCAGCCGACGGGGAGGAGAGGAGGAAGAGAGCTCCCCGCCCAGTGCTGGAAAAAGGTACGTTTTTACCCCTTTCCCCCTTCCAGAGCCGGGCGGGAGGGGGACCCTGAGGGTGGGGGCACCCTCAGGGCACTATAGTGCCAAGAAAATGAGTATATTTTCTTGGCACTATAGTGGTCCTTTAAGGGGAGATGTGTGCATTCAATCAATTATAGTTTTCACTAGTCTGATTTTGCTATATGCAATTAAGCATTGATAAATGGTGATATGAAATCACCTTATTTACTGACTGTTATCAGTGGTTTGTGATAGTATGTCTGCTAGATTACCTTGATACTGACAGAGGCCTAGGATGAGCAGCTGTGGAACCCACTGTAGACATGCAGTCGGGTTGCACAATTAGCATCTAAATAATACAGGTGGGCTATTTGCATATTTTACATGACCTCCAATGGTGACAGACCCCAGTCTGAAGGTGCAACAGAAGGGAATTATACTTCCATTGCCATCTTTTTCTTCAGCTTATGGTGCTTCCTCCACAAAGAGCCACCACATCAGTGCTGCATTCTTGCGCATGCACTAAAGTAAATAACTGGTGTCTATGGAAGTGAAAATGCAGCACTGAGTGGAAATAAAAGCAACTAAGGAAAAGAGGGCGGTAGGTAGCTGGCTCATTCACATCCTAGCTCTGAACTTTATCTCCATCATCCACCTGCCCCCAAAGAATCCTCACACGACCCCAGGCTAGGGCAGTCCTTAGTGGAGCCCTTGGATTTTCCAACACCCCCTGCAGGAGCTCCATAGTGTGACCATCTGTGCAGCCTTAGAGTAACTCTGGACCTGCGACCAACAATACTCAAACATCTGTATGTACTACTTCTAGTGATATTCAGTTTACACATTGAGAGAAGCTCTTACAGGATGTCTCCCAATATCACAACCGGTAAGTGAGCTATGAAACTAATGCAACGTTTTTGTAAGATACCCAGCGTAATATCTACTACAAAGTTATTTGAAAGAATTTACAGCTAGGAGGAGCAAGCAGTCAGTGCGGGGGGGGTACTCACTAAAGTGAAACTTTAAAGTAAATTTCAAATTTAAGGCCAGTGTAGCTGAACTGAAACCATAGTTGACTTAGAAATTGTTTCCAGTTTGGCTATTTTGATCTTAAATTTGAAATTCTTGTTGAATTCTCTGACTAACCCTGTTAGTTGGTTTCCATAATATTGCATCAAACGGTCAGTGTTTTTATCAAATACCCTTAATTTCTAGCAAAATGTTGATTTTTTTTAAATGTATATTTATGTAACCCAGCAAAAGTTGTATTTTTAATTAATACCCACTGGTATTCATTTTATTTATTTATTATTCTTTATTTTTGTAGTGCATAGAGATACATACAGGTGCATATGGACATTTAAACAAGAATTGTAAAGACAAGTAGAACATTACATGCCAGAAACTCTGCTGCACTTTTTATAAGTATATCAGACCCAGGTAACTCTGTATAGATACACAGGTGATAAGTAAATAAAGTAAATTATATTATAAGATTAATATATAAGCAAAGTATGCCACCCTGTGTGGCTTTAGTGGCAAGTGCTAGTATTAAGGTATGTGGGACAAATGATGCAGGGTAAGCAGAAAAGTAACACTTTCAACAGAAATGTCAACCATAGCAAATACTTAGGTTAAGAAGGGAGGATTTCACCTGGCTGTGTGTGCTGGGAGGATGAGTAAGACGACCCTCTGGGCATTCATGGGCAGGGTGCAGGTAATAGGGTGAGTTGGTAGGCGTACTGTCCCAGGCAAGATCTATGCAGCATTCATATGATGTGGTAGCTTCTTCGGTATCCCCTGCTTTCCTCTCCCTGTTGAATCCTTCTTGACAACCCAACTGCTGGCTCTATAGGCACCCCTTTCTGATGCAGGCCTGCACATCCCGCCTCTTGTGCTTCGCCAAACCGGTTTTCTCTGCTGTTTTCGCACTCTCCTTGTGCCACGCCAAGTTTGAGGCTGCCGGGGAGCAGGTTTAGGTGGGTGATGCCACGAGGGTTGTAGGGCAGGTACATATTTTCGGCGGGACAGAGCCCCCCAAAAGATGCGGCATCTGCCATGTTGGATATGCATGCGGGGTATCATCGCTGTTTGAGGCAGGATCACACAGCCCAGTTGATGTGAATGAGCCTCCAGGGTGGGGACTGGGATCTCCCTCACTGGTCCAGAGGGGGGATAGGAGGGCGCCATCAAGATTTGGACAAAGTTCCACCTGAGCTTGCTAGGCCTCACTCCAGCCCGTTGAGGGCTTAGTCTGGACGGCTGCTACTGACCGTACAAAGCTGGTCGATTTACACCAGACATTCAAGCTTCGCAGCCTGACCCAGAAAGAGTGCCGGGAACACGGGTAGGTGCCTTAAAATCAATTATTTGCCAGGAGCTCTCTGAAAAGGCATCCAGCCGCCATCACAGTCAGGCCCCGTCCCTGGTATTTCTTTTTCAATTGTTAGTGCACTGTTGCACGGCTGCACTATTATTGTTTTCTCTGTATCTCTCACTATTTGTATATTGTAAATTAGATTAACCCCTTGACGACTGATGACGTTTCAAGACCGTCATCGGAAACATCCCCTTGGGGACCAATGACGGTCCTGAACCATCATGACGGTCTGGGGGTACTTACCTGATCGACGTCGGTCCCCCGGCGCTTCTCCATAAATTCATTGATCGTGAAAAGGCATCCAGCCACCATCACAGTCAGGCCCCGTCTCCGGTATTCCTTTTTCAATTGTTAGTGCATTGTTGCACGGCTGCACTATTATTGTTTTCTCTGTATCTCTCACTATCTGTATATTGTAAATTAGATTAACCCCTTGAAGACCGATGACGTTCCTGAACCGTCATGCCGGTCTGGGGGTACTTACCTGATCGACGTCCATCCCCCGGCGGCGATTAGTGCTCCTCCCGGTCCAGGGGGACTGCCTGTCTGCCCGGGCAGTCTCCACTCGGCAGATCAGGACCCCACGGCCACGTGATCACTCGATCACGTGGCCGTAATAGGTGCCTGTGTATCTGCCTGCAGGGGGACTGTCTGTGCTGACAGGCAGTCTCCCTGCAAGTGGAAAATCAGAAATAAAGTTAAAAAATAAAGCAATAAGTGTAAAAAAAAATAAATTAATATGTGTATCTATATATATGATATATATACATATATTATATCTATATATAATATATGTATATATATCATATATATAATGTCATATTACGTGTATTTTTACATTTATTTATTTTTTTTTGTAAATCTGTTTTATTGAAATAAGACAAGGGGAAAGTGAGGCACGCAGGCCTCCATGCAAATAATGATAATGAAATATAACATGTGACAGGAGCCATTTGGGTACAATTCTTAAACCGTACGTTTTTAGTTACAGTGAATAAGGTAGTTTAAGTACATAAACAGACTGTATGTTGTGTGTCGAGGTATGCTTAAGTATCTAGGGAACACCTTTCCGTACCCTTCCTTCACGTGTACGGGGCAGGTATGAGCTATAGGTCAGCTTTGGTAATTGGTATTTGTCCCCTCTCGTAATTGTTATAAGTTACCCTCGGAACCTCCCAGTGTAATGTCTCAGTCTGTGGTAGTCAGCGTTACCATGAGTGTCTATCGCCGCCTTATTGGTAGTGATGGGTAATGTGTTGTTCTAGGGGGTCGGGTATAAGGGGGTGGGTAGGGTAGGAGGGGAGAGGGGGGAGGGGGGGGTAGGGATGAGGGGGTTACCTCCCTCCCGCTTCGGCATCTGCTGTGAGCGAGTATCATAAGTGTCAATGATGTGCTATTTTGCTTGTTGTTGGGGGTTGAAAGCGCCGGTGTCTTCCAAGTTCGTTTCTCGTAGTCTGTGTGTATTCCCTGCCTTTCATGGGTAATCTAGTGTTGAAGGAGTGTTCCCTCTGTGTGGGTGGGGAGTCGCGCCACGATCCCTTATGTTGTGCCCGTTAGTCGTTGCGTAATGTGTTTGGGCGATGTTTGCATTGTCCCTGTCCTTTGTTAGAGCCGTCCGTCTTGCAGTGGGGCATGTCCACTAGGCGCCAGTCGCTGTTTGAGGTGTTTGCATGCGATGTCTGTGGCTTTGAGTGATGTGTCAGTGTGCGTGTAGTGATGGCGTTCATTATGATTGCCTGCCTTGACGTTCAGGCTATCGTGTGTGTGAAGGTGTGCAGGGTGTATTGAGTATGCCGTTATCAGGTGGTAGATGTCTTTACATGAGCTGTGTGTATTTGGGGTGCGTCTCGCCTGGGGGTGAGCAGCGGAACGAGATCCGGCCGCGAACGGTCGTGGCTCTTCTTCCCCCTCCACCGCCCCCCGGAGGCGCCGGAGTAATCCGTCTACTGTTTGTTCGCTTACTGTCTGTTCGCTTGGTACACGAACCATGGTCCCCAGATCTCCGCGTGCCTGGTTGAGCGCCCCGTGAGGGAAGCTTGGAGTGCCTCTGCCGATTGTATGTCCCCTACCCTGTGGAGCCATTCCGTGTGCGTCGGGGACTCGGTTTTTTTCCAGTATGCGGGTATAAGGGATTTTGCCGCGTTCAGCAAGTGGCGTAGAATAGACTTTTTGTATCTGGAGATGGAGCTTGAGGTCATGTGTAGCAGGGCTAGTTCCATCGACCATTCCACATCTTCACCAAGTATTGATTTAGTTTCAGTGTGAATTTGGGCCCAGTACGGTGTGATGGCTCGGCAATCCCACCACAGATGTGTGATAGTGCCTCTTTCCTCTTGGCATCTCCAGCACAGAGGAGAAACTGTCGGGAATATCCGATGTAGAGCCACCGGCGTCCTGTACCACATGGAAATCAGTTTATAATTGACTTCTTGGTAGTACGAGCTGGAGGAACTTTTATGCTGCCAGAGGAGGGCTGTGTCCCATTGTGTTGTTGAAAGCTGTTTGTGGCACTGAGTTTCCCATCGTAGCTTGAAGGTGTTGTTGTCCCTGTTGCCTCCCACCAGAAGGTGTTGATACAGTGTGGATACTGCGTTACCCAGTCGAGATCCTCTATGACAGAGTGACTCGAACCAGGTTAGCTCTCTGTGCAGGAGTTCCTTATGTGGGACTGAGTCATAAAAATGTACTAGTTGCAGATATCTCATCGTTGTCATGGGTGTCCGTGCTCCGTCTCCCAGTAGGGAATCCAGGGATCTCACCCGTCCCTCTCCCAGTACCTTCCGGATCGGGATATATTCACCCTCCTCTATGAATGTCCATGCACCGGCCGGGAGGCCCCCTCCAATTTTGGGATTGTGCGTGATCGGGGTCAGTGGGGTAGGCCTCGGGGAGACGAATGACAGCCCCCGGATCCGCTCCCAAATTTTCAGAGTTTGGGTCACTGGGTTTCCGATCTCATCTCTCCCTCTGTATCCCGGTGTCTCCTGCCACACTTCGGCTTTGAGCTTGGCCCCTGAGTCGCCTCTGTCAAGAGTCACCCACTGCTTTGGATTATCAGCGGCATGCCATTCCAGGATGCGTTGCATCGTGGCGGCTTGGTGATATTTCCGGAAATCGGGGAGTGACAATCCTCCCTTGAGTCTGGGTAGGCATAACGTTTCGTATCGCAATCGAGACCTCTCTCCCCGCCACACGTAACGTATTATTGCTGTCTTCAGGGTCGAGAAGAAGGATCTAGGTAGTGCCAATGGGATGGTTTGGAACAGGTAAAGAATTCTTGGTAACACGTTCATTTTGAGAACCGCTATGCGCCCATGCCACGTGACGTGTGGGTATGCCCATTTCTCCAGATCTGATGTTATTGTCTGTAGCAAGTGGGCAAAGTTGTGTTGGTATATATGCTGGGGATTGTTGGCGATCCACACTCCCAAGTATTTCATCCGTTCATCACGCCATTGGAATGGAAAGCTATTTTTCAGGTCAGTATATTGGTTCGAGGGGAAGGTCACATTCAACGCCTCACATTTTGATAAGTTGAGTTTGAATCCTGACAACGTACCATATTGTTTCATGGTGGCGAGTAGGCAGGGTATTGTAATGCGGGGGTTAGTGATGAAGAATAGGAGGTCATCAGCATAAGCAGCTACCTTATGTTCAGAGTCTCTCCACGTGTAGCCGCGGATGTCAGGGTTTTGTCTTACCGCCTGCAAAAGGGGCTCCAAGGTCATTGCGAATAGGAGAGGGGACAGGGGGCATCCCTGTCTCGTCCCATTATTTATTTCAAATCTGTCGGTTAGGGCACCATTGACCCGAACCGCTGCTTGGGGCTTGTCATAGACAGCTGATATCCACGACATCATTTTCTGCCCCAATCCCATAGCGGTCAGCGTGGCCATCATATATGACCAGTTGACCCGGTCAAAGGCCTTCTCAGCGTCCGTGGAGAGAATGAGAAGGTGGTCCCCTGATTTCCGTGCTCGGGCTTGGATTGAGAACAGACGTAGGGTGCTGTCCCTCGCCTCCCTTCCTGGGATGAACCCTGTCTGATCTGCATGAATAATGCTTGGCAGCACTCGTTGTAACCTAGTGGCCAGTACTTTAGTTAAAAGTTTCGTGTCGACGTTGAGTAATGAGATAGGCCGGTAGCTGCCGCAGTGTTCTGGATCCTTCCCCGGCTTGAGTAATACTGTGATCGTAGCTGCCAGGGATTCTGCACCGAAGCGTTTCCCCTCCGTAAGGGCATTTACAGCTTTAGTCAGCCATGGTACAAGTTTTGCGGAGAAGTCCTTGTAGTATCCCGCCGGGAATCCATCTGGGCCTGGTGCCTTCCCTCTCTTGGTTTTCTTTAAGGCCGCCGTAACTTCGTCAATGCCGATTGGTTCATCCAGTATGGTCGTCGTGTCGGGGCTAATCCGTCTGCGTACGTTGTCCTGCAGGAAAGTCCGTGTAAGTTCGGCTTTGGATATCCCTGATTCCTGTTCCGTCTGTGTGGCGAGGTTATAGAGCCGTTGATAGTATCGTTGGAATTCACTCGCAATGTCTTCCGGGAACTGTGAGGTCTTCCCTCCAGCTAGGCGTAATTTGTGTACTCTAGTTTGCGGGGTATCCCCTTTCAGGAGGCGAGCTAGGTATCTACCCCCTTTGTTTGCGTGAGTATAGAAGAAGCTTTTGGAATACTGTAGGGAGCGGTGATGTCTGCGCGTGATGAGGTCCCGCAGCTTGCGTCTGGCATCTATCAACTTCTCGTGGGTGGTCGTCTGTTGCGTCCTTTTGTGTAGGAGTTCCAGATTCGAGATGGTCCCGTAGAGTTCTGACATTTCCTGCATGGTCGCTTTATGTTTGCGGGAGGCTATCCTGATTAGTATCCCCCGGAGGACGCTCTTGTGTGCTTCCCAGATCGTGATTGGTGATGTCTCTCCATTGTCGTTCTCCGAGAAATAGTTCTCCAGTGCCTGCGTGATCTCCTCCACCACCCCAGGGTCACGGAGGAGTGATTCGTTCATCCGCCACGTCCAGCGTGACGGTTTAAACAGTGGTGATTCTAGTTCTACCAGTACCGTGCCATGATCTGACCATGTAGCGGGCCCTATGACAGCTGTGCGGAGGCGGGAGAGGCCCTCCTGTTGGATCAGTACATAGTCGATGCGCGAGTAACGATCATGGGGCGCTGAGAAGTGGGTATAGTCTCTGGTTTCCGGGTGTAGTGCTCTCCAGCAATCAACAAGGCCCAAATCATTCATCGATTTACGTATGGATTGTATGCTTGAGAGTGGTAAACAACTGCGCCCGTTTGATGCATCTAGTCGAGAATCCAGTGGGGCGTTAAAGTCACCTCCCACTATAAGCGCCCCTTCCGAGAAGCCCCGGAGCTTGTTTAGAGTTCCCCGGAGGAATCGCGCTTGGTTCGTGTTTGGCACATAGACTGACACCAGGGTGTATAGTTTGTCGGCGATAGTACCTTTCAAAAATAGAAATCTCCCTTGCGTGTCCGACATCCTGTCTAGTACCCTAAAGTCCATCTCGGCAGCCAGTAGGATAGCCACTCCCGATCTACGGGACGTGGGGTGGTTGTTGAAGGAGTTGTGTGGGTAGTGTTGGTTCCGTAACTTCGGTGCGGAGCCTTCCAGGAAGTGGGTTTCCTGAAGCATAGCTACCGAAATTTGAGCTTTCCGGAGATCCCGTAGCAGGTGTGAGCGGCGTTCCGGCACATTTAGGCCCCGACAATTTAGACTCAATACGCGTAGAGGGGTAGGTTGGTAAGACATGGCTATTCCAGTCGGCGTCCCCAGGCACGCGGATATCCCCGATCGGTTCCACTGAAGGAGTCTCTCTTCTCCTACCCTGCAGATCCCACCCCCAAGTGCGGATGTCCGGCAGCGCCGCGGGGCCGGAGGATTGGGAGGCGCAGCCCCAGGCGAGACCAGCGGAAACTAACGTGGGGGGGAGGGTGTGTGTGGGAGTCTCCTCCCTTTGATCTCCCAAGTCTGATTGTTGGGCGAGGCGTGTGGTCTCGAAACACCCCAAGTCCGGGTGTGCAGTCAGTTCTCTATGTGGGTGGTGTGCTGACAGTGCGGGTTTGGTGCCCAAGTCAGGGTGGGGCCACCCAAGGGATAAAGGAAAGGAAGGGAAGGAAGGGTAAGGGATTGTACAGTAAAAAATTGGGGATAGGGATTAATCCCCAAGTAGAGGTGCCTCGCTCACGGGAGACGGGAGGTCACCTCGATACCTCCTATACTAGGAGGAAATAGTCGTGCGACGGTTAGGGCCGCCGGGGGTCACCCTGGCAACGAGCCGAGACGTGCGTCCCCGGGTGTCCTGCCGTCAGAAAGAGGTGCACGGCCCTTAGTTGGGGTCCGTAGTCCTGTCCCAGACCGGGAGGGATAAAACAAGTGTATGTGGTATGTGAGTGATAGTTAGAAAGTAGGCTCCGTCGTCTTCCCGACCCCAAGTGAGCCAGATGCTCTTGGACGCCACCTGGTAAAGTGAGCAGGAAACATCATACATATATTGCAACATTAAAACATGTAAGAAATACAAAAACAAGAGCAACAGTAACCTCTTAGGGGTAGCACCTTTCAGTAGTGTCGGGTATGCGTTATTCCCCCTGCTTCATGTCCCCTATCTCCCCTGACCCCCTATCTCACCCCCGGGGAGCCCCCTCCCTCCGGTTGTTTAGCCCCTGTTAGATTCTCAACAGCCCTATCATGTTGTGGTCTGTGGTCACGTTAGCTAAGTATGTATCTAGGATAGCTGATGAGTGTGTCCCCTATGGGTGCTTTCCCGTCCGTTTCCCGGGTGTCTGGTCCCTAGTCACGGTAGTGATAAAATGCGTATGGGTGGCAGTCTCCCTCCCGTCTTGCTGCCCCTCCCTTAGACATGTCCCTGTCCTATCACCAGCTCGGCGGGGCTGAGTGATATGGTGTCCAATCGTGCGTGCTGAGTAGTGTGTGTTTACATGGGTCGTGGAGGGTGTATAGCTATAAATGGAGGGCTACCCTACTAACTGGGGGTTTGGCAGAGGCAAGGCAACAGCAGTATATTAAATAACACATTAGTATGTGACAAAAGTAATAGAGCGATACGACCAGCATTGTGTGTGAAGCGTATTGAGATCGTTCATCGGATATACTTCGTGCTTCTTCCAGGGGAATTCCTCTGCAATGCCAGTCTTCCCCTGTCAAGGTGACTCTCAGCTCGGTGTGCCGGAGTCCCATTATGAGATGTCTCAAGCCAGTATGCCCTTGAGCTTGGTAGCACATATTGTCCCAGTCCCGGCCATTCCCCCTCCCAATAGTGTGAAGGCTAGAGGAGTGAGTCCAATGTCCGTATCGAATCTCCCAATGTTACGTGGTATCCTGGAAGCCCCAATGCAAAAAGTATCGTAGGACCCACCCATCATTCCCTCCCAAAGCCCATCAGTGTAGAGGGAACTGAGTAGTCCTTGTCCCCCCACTTTGTTAGTCTCGAGGAATACACCGTGGAGTAAAATGCGGAGGTGAGGTCCAGAGCACATCTTCGGTAGCGGGCAAGGAGGGGCCTCTGAGTGTAAGGTATGAGGAGAGCAAGGCCGGAGTGTGAGAGGTCAGGGGTGAGAGACCTCAGGGGGGGGACTGCTCATTGTTCCGGCCCCCCTGGGGCATGACGCCTGCGGGGTTCCGGTCCTCGTGGTGGGTCTTCCCCTCGTCTTCTGGGTGCCCGCTGCGGTCTGGGTCTACCTCCCGGTGGGCCCAACACCGAGTCTGGAACTGGGATCGGGGGGAGACCCAACTCCTCCAAAAATCCCGGTATCTCTTCGGGCCATCTAGCCGATGCCCAGCCATTTTGGTGGCGGGCAAGGAGGGCAAAGGGGAAGCCCCAACGGTAGGGTATTTTTCTTTCTTGTAGAGCCGCTGTCAGGGGCTTTAGTGCTCGCCGTGCTTCCAGTGTAATAGGTGAGATATCATTGTAGAGGGAAACTGATGCACCCCCATATTCCCATGTCTGCCGTGAACGGGATGCTTTCATTATTGCGTCTTTTTCTTTGAAAGAGTGTAAGCAGCAGATCAGGTCTCGGGGGCCTTCCTCAGGGGATCTGGGGCGTAGGGCTCTATGGGCCCTGTCAAATTTAATGGTGCGCGGTGCGCCGTCCCCTAGTATCAGCTGAAATAGTCCTGTGAGGATTTCCTCCACGTTTTCTACCCCCCTGTCCGGTTCAGGGAGCCCGCGCACCCTGATGTTACACCTGCGCCCTCGGTTATCTAGGTCGTCTACCGTCCGTCTCATATTAAGTAAGAGCTCACCTTGGCGTGTTAGGGCCATGTCAGTTGCTGTGTGTCTCACAGTATGGGCCTCCAGCGTGTGTTCCACTTCTCTGATCCGGCCAGCCTGGGCCGCAACTTCCGTGCGAATGCCCGCCATTTCTGCCCTTAAGGCATCCTGGATGGTGGTGGTGAGGACCAGGAGGTCAGCTTTGGTAGCCATAGCGGAGGATAGGGAGCGGAGTTCATCTCCAATCCTCTCTAATGCAGCACCATGTGGCTCCCGCGGGGATAAGGCTGCCGGCGCCATTTTGGATCCGCTCGCCTCCTCGCTGTTCTCGGTCGGAGGCTGAAGGTACCTGTCCATCGGGCCGTGCGAGTGGCTTACCTGGGAGCCCCTGGGGGTTTGGGGGGTATCAGTGCGGCGGTGGCGTCCCATTCGTGCCTAATATTGCTTGGTAGGGGTCGGGATTTATGTCGGCGGAGCGGAGCTCTCCGTTTATGCGGCCATCTCGGTCCGAGCTCAGGCCACCTCCCCTCGTATTTTTACATTTATATATACGTATATTAATATAAAAATACATTTATATTTAAATTACACACGTATATATACAATATATATAATAACTAAATATATTGTATATGTATATATTTTAATAAATTATAAATAATATGTTAATAAAAATAAATAAAAAGTAAAAATAATTTTTAATAATTAAAAAGAAATTATATATATATATATAATTTTATTCTAACAGTATTTTTATATTAATATATATATATATATATATATTAATATCAAAATACACTTAGAATGTAATGATATATATCTATGAATAAATAAATAAATAAATAAAAATAATATAATAATAATTTCATAAATATACACGTAGACGTCAAATATATAAATATGTACATATATTAAAATTCTATGTGTATATTTATGTAATATTTTTACCTAATTAAGTAATTTTAATGATTGCAATTTGAGGGACCTGTCTGCCAACCCAAGCCGAAAGTCCATAGAAGTTAATTTGCTAGCACTGTGTTTAACACTGTAACTTTCTATGACACCCTACAACCTGTACATGGGGGGTACTGTTTTACTCGGGAGACTTCGCTGAACACAAATATTATTGTTTCAAAACAGCAAAACACATCACAGCGATGACATTGTCAGTGAAAGTGACTTTTTTTGAATTTTTCACACACAAACGGCACTTTTACTGATGATATTATTGCTGTGATACATTTTACTGTTCTGATACACTAATATTTGTGTTCAGCGAAGTCTCCTGAGTATAACAGTACCCCACATGTAGAGGTTTTATAGTGTTTGTGAAAGTTACAGGGTCAAATATAAGGCTTGATTTTACTTCTTTTTTTTTTATTGAAATTTGTCAGATTGGTTAGGGTGACTTTGAGAGCGTATGGTAGCCCATGAATGAGAATTACCCACATGGCATACCATTTGCAAAAGAAGACAACCCAAGGTATTGCAAATGGGGTATGTTCAGCCTTTTTTAGTAGCCACTTCGTCACAAACACTTGCCAAAGTTAGCGTTTTTTGCATTTTTAACACACAAACAAATATAAATGCTAACTTTGGCCAGTGTTTGTGACTAGGTGGCTACTAAAAAAGACTGGACATACCCCATATTGAATACCCTGGTTTGTCTACTTTAAAAAAATATGTACATCTGAGGTGTGATTCGGGGATTTATGACAGATAACGGTGTTACAATGTCACTATTGATAAATTTAAAATATATATATATTGAAACAGCAATTTCCTACTTGTATTTATAGGCCTATAACATGCAAAAAAAGCAATAAAGCATGTAACACACGGGGTGTTTTTAAACTCAGGACAAAATTTTGAATCTATTTAGCAGTTTTTTTCATTAGCTTTTGTAGATAATTAAAAGATTTTTCAAGTAAAAGTAAAAGTAAAATATGACATGATACAAATAATGGTATATAAAGAAAGCCCTTCTTGTTCTGAAAAAAACCCAATATATAACTTGTATGGGAACCGTAAATGAGAGAGAGGAAAATTACAGCTAAACACAAACACCACAAACGTGTCAAAACTGCTCTGGTCCCTAAAGTCCAACATCGCAAAAACAGGTCCTTAAGGGGTTAAATTTCATCCAGATAATGTGATTGTCAGTACTGTGTTTGGCTAACACCAGCACAGTCTGAATTATAAAACCAAATAATAATGTTGTGTATCATACAATCTTTTTTGAATTAAC